GCATTTTCATCGTAGAAACAATATTCTATATGTGTATACGGATTCTCGAAGCGTTCCATCCAATGTTTGTTCTGGCCGTCTTTTGTCCGGAAACTTAAAAGTTTCAAGTGCATTTCTTCTGTATGATCTTTACTTTTCAAAATTCTTTTGTAACGCCATTAATTAATACGCGAAACGAATAAGGAAGAAAGGTTTTGTATAAGAATTGAATGATACAGAGGAAGGAATATAATTTGATGTTAGGAATGTTTTTTTTTTTTTTTTGTAGAATATACAAAATCATTAATTCGCATCGATTTTTCTTATACAAAAATTATTAATCTATTTTCGATTAAAGATTGTAGATTTAGAAAAATATTTAAATAATAATTGGAGTGAAATCTATTATTTGGAAATAAAAAAGGATAATATATGAGTATCTTTTATACTGTTTATTAAAAAAATTTTTGTTTAAATTAGTTTTTTTTTTTTTTATTACAGACCAAAGTGCTATATCGATTAATGCATTAAAGATTATGATAATATTTAAAAAATAAAATTGACCTTTATATGATCTTCTACATATATATATATATGCAAAATAATTATTAATATCGAATCGTGCCCTTTTCTTATTTACCTTATTAAATTTTTACTCGAAACGTTTTTCAATATTATATATATTAAAAAAAAGTGATATTTCACGTAATTTGTTTTGTTTATCTCGTGTATATTAATTAAAACCTGTACCTTATTTTTTTGCATTTTCAACTTATAATGCACGCACTTTCCTTTCACAATTCAATATTTTCCGATAGTTGGAAAATGTATTTAAAATTTTCAGCTTTTTATCTTTTAATTTTTTCTTGGTATCTCATTCTGCATTCTCCCAATAGAATCTTTATTTATAAACATACTTTACAAACGTGAATTGTTTTGACATATTTAAACCAAAAAATTCTTTCTTTTCTGTCAAATCTTTTCCTTTCAAAGTTTCTTTGAATACCGTTTAAACAGGTTTCTACTTCAACAACTATCGCAATCAGGGCGATGATATAAAAGATAATAGTGATATAAAAGAGAGGAGTTCAGACAATGGATTAAACGAGAGCTCGTTATTATAAGGAAAACAGTGTGGAGTGTGGTTTAAGTAAATGAAAGTGATTATTAAAAGAACGATAAAAAAAAAGTGGAAAAATTTATATTGCAGAGATATTATAATAGATATCACTCGCTCTATTAATCGCAACATCAATTGAAGGCTTTGCCAGTAAAAAAAGTGATCCATTATTGAAAATTTATTAATTGAGATAATATATTTTTTATATAGCTAACGTAAAATTGAATGGTGCATTAAAATTGGAATTGCAATTATGAATAAAAATGCAAACAATTTCTATACAAATTGTTTCTTGATTTGTATCTAAAGTTGAAAAATTCTTCAGAAATCGAAGTATAAAGATTCATCACAATTTTAAATTACTATTTTTTTTCTTTTTCTTTTTTTTTTTAACATCAATATTCAAAGCAAGTTTTTCCTTAAAGTTGTTACGAATGGATCTGTCCCCCACTCGTTCTAAAGTTTTCAATTGTGCTGAAGGTGAAACTCATTATCCATTGATCGTGTGTGACCCAGTGTGAGAAACTATAAACACGAAAGTAAATAAATTTGTATATACGAAATAAGGTCGCAAAATGCATTCTTTTCCAATTTTGGGGAAAATGATCATAATTCAACAGGAATCATTACTTCACAACAAATTCTATTATAATTTAATAATCTTAAAAAAGTCTTAAAAATTCTAAACGACGAATAAACACATAAAGAAAATAAAAGTATCGAGATTCGTATTAAATTACAAGTAATTTAAATTTTGCATTGGAACAAAGAGAAGCAAAGGAAGAGTGCGAAAACAACGAGGAGGACAGTTTCATTTTATTCCTATCTCGTTTGTGAAACTTAAATTGCCCTGTAATTTAATGAATAAGCTTCGATCGACGTATTAGTTTCGAACATTTTGGAATCAACTGTCCGTGTATAGACGGATGTGGGCCACTGATGGCTAGTAGAGAACAGTGAGAATTCCGCGACTGAGCCATGACCTATATACCCACCCTCGTCGCGCCACTATTGGCCAACCCCCATTGCTGGTGGAATCACTCGAATACGAGGAGTGTGCGACGCGTGATCATAAAAATTGCTAGAAAATTGTTTCTTATAACACTCGATGAATATTCTATGAATGGGAAAAAGTTTTTTATCCACAACAAAGATATATTTACTTCTTTGACTCGATTAAAGTTTGTGAACGAATGTGAAAAAAAAAAAAAAAGCAAAATGAGAAAAAGGATCGTGAATAATAATAAATATTTGCGGGCTTGATTGAACGATAAATTCGTTCGTTCCTTTCTTCATCTATCAAATAAGTGGATATAATCGCGTTCGAATTTGTTTTAACCGGAGAAACGTATTTTTGAAAAAATATTGTTCATTTAAAAATAATAAATAAAAGTAAAAAATTTATCGGTATTAGTATTGTCTTACTGATATTTAATCTCGGATCGGGTTACATGCGTCGAGTTTCGTGACGTGTCAAGGGTAGCTTCTCCAAGTGGTAAGAGATAAATTTTTTCGCAAGTTTACGTCGTAAACCGATTCCATAATTATAGAAAAAATTTATACATAGTGTTTACCCACAAGTGATTAAAATAGCCTATCTGCCTTTTTTTTTAATATAAATTGTTTACATAGAATTTCGAATAAACAATTAGAAACTCTTCTAAACTCTTGTTTAAAGAAGTTTAGATTATTCTTTTTGGAAGAAGGACGGTGTAAAAAAGTAATTTCAGATTTTCTTGTAGATGTAATATTTTAACTGGGAAGGAAGGAGTGGTTGCGAACGCTTCTCGTAACAACTCGTTAATCAGGACTCGTGAAAATGTCATTGCTCGAAATAACGAATTTCTTTAACTATAAAATTTCTAAACTTCAATCGGGAACAACGCGGAATTTTTCCCTCGAACTTCTTCTTATCGCGTTTAAAAGAAAAAATTTGAATATTAAATATATATGTAAAATTTTTTTTTTTTTTAAAAGAATAATACCAGTTAAAATTTTTCGATTTTCGAAGAAACTTCCCTTTCCAAAAACACTTACAGAAATCTCTAGAAATCGGTTCCTAGGGAGCCCTAGGGAAACTTTGGGGAAAAATTTCTAAAAAGTTGCGAAATGCATTTGACGATAAAAACCGTGTCGAAAGTATTTCTCGCGGGCAGGTTGTTGCGTTTCTGAAAACAACTTTCGCTCACAACTCTCAAGCAATAAAAATAAACTCTCGAGAATTTTATTGTCAAATTTATTCGCGTTCTTTGGGATAGGTTAAAAAGCGATTATAAGAATTTTCATTGGGATACGAATACATTTGAATTGCTTTTATCCGAGCGAATATCGATGATCGTCTGAAAGATGTGAAAACTTACTCGTTAATTCAGAACGGCTGTTAACAATTACACGGCATCCTCGTGCTAATTGAAATTAATTTTTCTCGGAGGGGGGGAAAAGAAAAGAAAAAAAAAAAATATCGTTCTCTTTACTCGTAGGAAAATATCGATAGGATATATTTAACTTGGAGCGTCGAACTCATCGTTATTTATAACATCAGAAGGCAAAGATATCGAAGCAATTATTTCACCTGATGAAAAGTGATGAAAAGTGATAAAAAGGATATTTTTAAGCTCTATCAGTATGATATCACGATCGAATAATAAATTTTGGCAATGAGAAAAGTTGCAATTCGCCCGATATTAATAAACTCTCTTGCATAGTAGCTAAAATTTAAAAAAAAAAAAAGCAAATAACATTTAAGTATGAATTAAGAAATTTCTAAATTTATTATCCTCTGTGTGAAAATTATGGAATAACTTAAATTCATTTTTTTTTTTAACAATAGAAAAAAATCTTATTCTATTTAACGATTTAAAATTTTGTATAAAAAAAAAACTTTATAAAATATAAATTATAATAACCTGTTAAAATAGTTACCAATGTTACTTACTTGATAAATATCGTGCAAGAGGAGCCGGATCGTGTACAACTTCGTTATCTCGTACCATTTGGTAGAGAATTGACCAGTCTGGAAGCCATATGTACTCGACATACGGTTATAAACAGAATCGGATCGATGCCAGTCGCATTCACCTCTTCGTTGCACGAAGACTAATTGCCCACTGATATAATAAAAAAAAAAAATCTGTTGCTATCGTCCATTCGTCGAAGAAGAATCTTGATTTAATTTTCCATTTTTCGTGAATGTCGTGTTTCGCTTTGGAAGAAAAAAAAAAAAAATTCACGATAATTTTTGCAAACGAATTGACCGATAGCAAAACGAGAGAAACGTTATTCTTTCTCTCTCTCTCTTTCTCTCTCACGACGCATCACGAAACGGGATAAACTCCTTGTTGGTAGCATTAAGGACAGACGGCGACAGACAACATGGGAATTGGAGTAAATAGGTCGAGGACATTGGAGGAAATAGGTCAACTTCGATTGAGACGGATCGATAAAGCGCTTACGCGTTTCATTATAATCGTCGTCGAAACAAATCTGACTAGAGTTCTTTCTTCATCCTTGTTTCTCGATTCGAGCGAAAAAAAAAAATAACATCGATCTCCGAGCGAATTTCGTGCGAAATTTACATACGTGGCGACACCGATTCCGTGGTGTTTTTTAATTTTTTTTCTCTCTCTTCTTCTTTTTTCAAGAGGCGTCATACCAGAGTTTATTCTGAGATCGAGTTCCAGTTGTTTGCAACATCGGAACGGCCATTCCTCACGGTCTAAAAATGCTCGAGCGGGGTTGCGATTTAGTTGGAAAATTTGCACCGTTCATCCATCCATCCATCCATCCATCCATCCGAACTTTCTTGACCCAGTATTTTGTTCGCTATAACTCGAAACCGGTAAATACGTGCATCGTGTATCCGCGAGAGATGTGGAAATTTACCTCATTTTTTGTCGATAACGTAGGGATGGATTTTAGCAAAAGGGCTAGCCCAAGCATTTGTAGAAATTTGTATTATATCGTTATCGCTCTAAAAATTACTCGTTACTCGAGGATAACTTCATAATATAATTCGTGAAAAGAGAATAAATAACGGATAAATATCGTATGAAAGTAGCTCGAAATAATGAGTTCGATGCGTCGATGAGTTCCGCGACAAACTAGAAAGAAAGAGAAACTAGAAGGGAGGGGAGGGGGATAGAAGCGCGATCGGAGAGGGGAAAGTCGTATGTGGGAGAAAAAGATAGTTGGCGGTAGTTGCAATGATCTCCCGCCACGATTCCGCTTTTAAAAATAAAATCTTACGCCGAGAATTATTCGAGTTGGTTGATGCGAAATCACAGGAGATCTGTTTCGGTGAGACAGGTTTGGGAAAACGTTGTTGTTGAAGAGTATTAACACTGAGAGACCGGGGGGAAAAAATATATAATACACGACGAAATGGACAATTACGCGAGCCGATGTCGTATTCGATGCGATGTCCAGGTGTAAAAGTGCCTGCTTCGAGACGTTAGCGCGAGAGGGCAGCCAGAATTAAGCCTCTCTCGGATCGTGTCCCATGTTGATATCGTACGACGTGGATTCGCGAGCGCGGGCAAAATGACGACCACCCACGGAGGCCACGTGTATTACGTGATCAAGGTGCCTAAAGAACGGATGGCAATGAAAGGTAATCATCGTCTTGAAAACGAACGAAACCTCGACTAGTTAATTTTAAAACTCGCCGTTAACTTTAACCCACGCCGCTTTCAATGCAATTGAAATTAATTAATTGAGAGATTGCGAGAGACTGTTGTTTGTATTATGTGAATTGTACGAGGAATGGAAACACCATTTCTCGATCGACTCTCGATCTGTAACAGAAAGATATAAAGAAATAAAAATATTGAATAGGTTAGGAAATTTTTAAAAGAAACGAGCTTACCGTAATTCATCGAATAGTTGAAATTATCATTGAAATTTGGAAAATGTAGTGCGCAAAATGCAAATCCGTTTCTATTAATTGCTATATATGATTTTTAAGAACGTGCAAGTACGAAAAAATTAGACGGACTCAGGCGAGATTAGGCAAGTATTAGAGACAGACAGTCGAAAATCGCTGGTTACGAGGATTTGTGAATAGCTTTGGTTCGGGAAAAATTCAGGCTGATTCGAAGATATCCGAATTTTCAGATTATTATATTCATTCGAACTCATTTTCGATTTTTTCGAAATTCATCCAATTTCGTAAATCTGTAATTTAAAAGCTAAATGTATTATTAAATAATATTTGTTACTTATTTACAATTTACAAATGTTAAACTAATTTTAAGCTTAATTCCATATTATGTAAAAAACAAAAATTTAATTTTTTATGATAAATTAATTAATTGAATGAGAAAGAATTAGTTTTCTATTTTGTAAAAATGTCACTGTATGTATATATACGCAGCATACCAATGACAATTCAAAAATAAAATGACATTTAATAATATTTCTTGTGATTCGGCCAATTTTTCATTGTTTTCGAAATTGAAAATTTTCTATTCCTTCTTGAAATTTCACTGGTTTAAAATTTATCTTGCGATTCGGTAGCAAATAAAAATCGCTTTGGACAAAAATATTTCCATATTATTATTTACATACATATATGTAAAAAATAGATACAAAAAAATATTTGAATATTAACATTTTTAAAAAAACTAAATATTATTTCGTATCATTATCAATAATGAAAATCTTTTAACGCAATTTTTTTCTTGGGCGTGAAAGATAGCCGTTTTTCATTTAAGATGGTGAAATTCTCTGGGTGAATGCAATGGAATGCAATCTAAGATTAATCGCAGCTGGGAAAGCAAAAGAATCGACACTTTGTTTCACAATATCGAATTGTTGGCCATATTCCAATTATTTCCGACAATTCTACCAGTTTCAATTTTCTTATCGAATATCCGTCTATATTTATTTTACTCTTCCATTTCTTCATTCTTCATCGTACAATTATTTGTCTTCCATTTTTTCTTTTATTTTTAACAATCACATTTTGTGTAAATTCACATTCAATATAAATATGCAATTAAAATTTTTTTTCTTAAAAAATTCAATTCACTCAAAGCAGCTTTTATTTGATTTTATGTTAGATTATGCTATTAAATGAATGCACAAGTTCAAAGAAAAATAGATTAATTGTTAATTGTTAATAAATCGCGAACACTTTCTAAACAATTCTCGAGAACGATTCACATGTTCGTTACACGTGCAACACTAAAAAAGGTTAGGAATATAAAATATGATTATCCGTGTAATCCGATATCGTGGTCAATGTTACGGTTAAATGGCAATCATAATTAAACTTAATTTAACTTATACACTGAAGATAATAGACAAAAATAACGAACGAATTATTCACTTGTTGTAAAAACGATGACTAAACTTGTATCGCGCGACTCAAAATTTTAGGTATCTACTTTACCATCAGTAAAATGATTAGCGAAACGGAGAGAGGTGTAATATTTGGAACCTAATTTAGGAGATGAAGATTTAACAGGGAAAAATTCATTTCCAGCACGGATAGTGGTTGGGATAATCCATTCAGACCAGACGGTGACCTTTCGAGGGAAGCCGACGAGATAGTGGAATTGATAAAAGGTGGAAAACCTATCACTCCGACCCCTGGCCAGACAGCTCCACCATTGCCAGGATGCGATACTACCGACAACGCGCAAACTACCGTTGATCACGATTCCAGTTCCAGTCCCTTGCTAAAATCCTCCGCGAATTCTACGAATCGACATGCGAATTCTTCGCCGAAACCTGGGCAGGAGAATGGAAACGCCCATGGAACTCCGATGAAAGCTGCAACCGCGAATAGTCAGCAGCCTGTCAACGATAAGGTAACTTAACCTTATTCCTTTTTTTCCATTTCATGCAGTTTTTATTAATTAACTCGTGTAGTATGCGTAAAATATATTACACCGTATATTTGCAAATTACTTAAATTATTCAAATATCATTGAATTGAAATACAAGTTTAAAAATTGATGGATACTACGTAATACAATTTTTGTCGGATAATATTGACTATAGCAAAAGTAACTATAAAAACTCTATAGGGATATAGGGATTTCATGATATATTGCAAACTTGATGTGCGAACTATATAATCCGATCTAATGAAATCAAATATCCATAAAACGATCAAATATCCACAAACAATAATTCAACGGTAAATTTTCTTTTTGTTTTTGGTTTTTTTTTTTTGTGATCAAAATAAGATCAAATATGATACTTATGTACGACGATAACATTTTTTACGTATTAAACAAGTAATGAAATTTAGAGCAAATATATCTGGTCATCGATAGATTATGTTGGTAGATTATATATCTAGAAGTGGATTTCTAAAAATTATCCGATTCATTTTTTTTCTACTGCATCAAGCGTCGTAAGAATGAGAAGTAGAGTGAAACAGAATATGTGGAATATATTAATAATCAAGCCGAGCAATAACTTTTTAATCTTAATATTTATTTAATTCCTATTAAAAAATACATGAAATAAAATATTAAAAAATAATTATTTAAAATTAATATAAATTATAATTGTACTTAATATCTTTTTTAAATAAATAGAAATAAAATAAATAATATAAAATCGTAAAAATTGATACAGAAATTAAAGTCAATCGATCAAGATTCGATCGTATTAATCTTCTAAAAATTCTATCAACTTCATTTTACGATGACAAATAAATTATACATAAAATTTATATTTTTCTTATTCCGCTAATTTAATTTACCAGTTGTTAAAACATATCGATGCGAATCATAAATAAAACAGGTTCTACTTCAAACCAGCAGTTCCAGGAATCGATGGGAATAGTTCGTAGTCAAATAAGCGAACAAATTCGTGATCATATGTCCAAACATTGCTATAAATACAATGCAAGCTATATTACACGTTTGATCTTATTTTGATGAAGAAAACTTTTAATATTATTTCATTTCATAAACGTTTCAACGTTAAAAAGATTACGGAAATAAAAAAAAAAAAAAATGACATTGTCTCATAGATAAAAATTTTTCAAACACTATTATGATTTTTATCCTTATTATATACCTTTTATATTATGAAAAAAAATTCTGAGTTTCGTTTGCGTCGTATCAATAGAAGTATTAATAATTTATCAACTCAATTATATATTTAAAAGATTAACAACAAAATATTATTAATTATACAGGTTGTCACATCGTCGAGAGCAGCTACCGTTGAAGTCGCTAGAATGACAGCGCAGGGACCAGGCGACGCTTCGCAGGTCGAACACGTCACCTTAAAGAAGAAGCCTAAATGTAAATGTTGTCTTCTGCAGTAATGAAAAGAAGTAAAACTGTCGCGTGATTGACTCTGGCAGTCGGGGATGATTCTCCGTCGCTGAAAATGCGTCGCGAATTTGGTCGCCGATAAATCATGTTTCTCGAAAAATGATCGTTACCACGAGTGCTGTTGATGATAAACGTTATATACTTCTCTCCAGAAATGAATTTCATGAAGAGACGGGAACGACGTATCTACGACTACGAAATGTGTGATCTGAAACGAATTTTTTCAAGAATTGTTCTATGAACGCGAGTTGGTCCTGTCGATTGAACCAAGCTGTTGAGCAAGTAAAGAGTGAAGATTTTTACAAACAATGGTTATCGATACGGATGAAAAGAGAATTCCGATATATCGGTTCGAACGACGATGATATCGAGCGAATTGACACTGGAAGATACCTGAATGAGCGTAAAAGCACCGAGCCAGCCTCTTAATAGCCTTTCAGAAAAACAGTGGAGTGTCTATAAAAGTAACAGACTATATAAAAGAAGAGAATAAAAAAAAATATATATATATATATATATATACACGTACACACACACACACACACACACACACACACACAACAACAACACACACAACAAACTATATTAGTAGATAACAA